GGAGAGGAAGAGAGCCCGGGGGCAGAACAAGAGCCGCCCGTGCATGAAACCCAAGAGCTACGAGCAGAGCAGGCTGTGCCCCTCGGTGACACAGGTGGGACACAGGGCCCTGCCCAGGCTGGGTCAGGTGGGATTTTGGGAAGGAACTCCTCTGGCACAGGGTGCCCACAGCAGCTCTGGCTGCCCCTGGATCCCTGGCAGTGCCCAAGGTGAGGCTGGACAGGGCTTGGAGCAGCTTGGGACAGTGGGAGGTGTCCCTTCGGGTGGGACTGGATGGGATTTGTAGTCCTTTCCAACCCAAACCAGTCTGGAATTCCATAAAAACCAACTGGGAGAGCGGGATGAGGGATGAGCTGAGTGTCACAAGCGTCACCTTCCCTGGGCTGTGCCCATCCCTCCCTCCTGGGGGCATTCCCTCCTCAGCTGGGCATCTCAGCTGAGGCTCGGAGCAGCTCAGGGCCGCACTGCCCCTGTGCCCACCGTGCCCACCGTGCCCACTGTGCCCTGCTCCCTGCTGTCCCCAGGGCCGTGGTGGGCAGTGCCGCTTCGGGCCGCGCTGCCGCTTCCTGCACGACGTGTCCGAGTACCTGGCGGCCAAACCGGCCGACCTGGGCGGGCGCTGCGTCCTCTTCGACACCTTCGGCCGCTGCCCCTACGGCGTCACCTGCCGCTTCGGCCGCGCCCACCTCGGCGACGGCCACCAGAACCTGCTCAATGCCACCCTGGCCCAGCAGTGGGAAGGGAAGCTGCCGGTGAGGAACGGCCTCTCCAAGGAGCTCCAGCAGCAGCTGCGCAAGAGGAGGTTCAGCTTCCAGAAGGCCGAGGAGTTTCTCCGTGGGCTCCGTGCCGGGAAGGGAGGCAAAGCCACGGGGGGCTGTGTGGAGGTGGCTGATTGCTCTGCTCCCCAGGAGGGCTTGGGAGACAGCCCTGTGCTGCAGGAGCAGGGTGAAGATTCCAAACCAGAGACCCTGCAGAGCTCCCAAGGGGCTGAGGGTGCTCCCAGACCTGAGGCCCTGCAGAGCTCCCAAAGGGCTGAGGATGCTCCCAAAGCTGAAACCCTACAGAACTCCCAAAGGGCTGAGGGTGCTCCCAACCCTGAGGTCCTGCAAAGCTCCCAAGGGGCTGAGGGTGATCCCAAAGCCGAGGTCCTGCAGAACTCCCGAAGAGCTGAGGGTGCTCCCAAAGCTGAGGTCCACAACAGCTCCCAGAGGGCTGAGGGTGATCCCAAACCTGAGGTCCTGCAGAACTCCCAAAGAGCTGAGGGTGATCCCAAAGCTGAGGTCCTGCAGAACTCCCAAGGGGCTGAGGGTGATCCCAAAGCTGAGGTCCTGCAGAACTCCCAAAGAGCTGAGGGTGCTCCCAAAGCTGAGGTCCACAACAGCTCCCAGAGGGCTGAGGGTGATCCCAAAGCTGAGGTCCTGAACAGCTCCCCAAAGGCTGAGGGTGCTTCCAGCCCTGAGGTCCTGCAGAACTCCCAAGGAGCTGAGGATGCTCCCAAAGTTGAAACCTTGCAGAACTCCCAAAGGGCTGAGGGTGCTCCCAACCCTGAGGTCCTGCAGAACTCCCAAGGAGCTGAAGGTGCTCCCTCCATCCCAACCCTGGGCCCGCTGACAGATGAAGACGTGACGAAGCTGCGGCCGTGCGAGAAGAAGAAGGTGAGAGTCCCTTGTGTCCCGGTCCCGTGGTGGAGGTTGTGCATGGAAAGATGGAAGAGAAACCCCTTGGAGAGCCTTCAGCTGGAGGAGGCAGGCAGAGCATTTCTTATATATGGAAGGAACTCCTCCCTGTGAGGGTGGGGATGGAATTCCCAGAGCAGCTGTGGCTGCCTCATCCCTGGAAGTGTCCAAGGCCAGGCTGGACGGGGCTTGAAGCACCCTGGGATAGTGGAAGGGTCACTGCCCATGGCCAGGGCATGGAATTGGATGATCCTTAAGGTCCTTTCCAAGCCAAACGATTCTGTGATCCCATAAAAACCATTGCAGCTCTGCTGACCTGCTGCTCCATCCCTGTTTTCCAGCTGGAAATCCAAGGCAAGCTCTACCTGGCTCCACTGACCACGGTAGGTCAGGAGCTCCATCCCTGTGCCAAAGCTCGCTGTGGGCAGGGTTGGAACAGAGCAGATCTCGTGATAATCGCTGTCCCTGCTGTCCCTGCTGTCCCTGCTGTCCCTGGCAGTGTGGAAACCTCCCTTTCCGACGGATCTGCAAACGTTTTGGAGCAGATGTCACCTGTGGGGAGATGGCTGTGTGCACCAACCTGCTCCAGGGCCAGTCCTCCGAGTGGGCTCTGCTCAAACGCCACCACACTGAGGACATCTTTGGGGTGCAGGTGAGCCTTGGCACCCCACAACCCTCCAGAAACTCACTTCCCAGGGGACAAGGGCAGCTCAGGGAAGCTCTTTTTTGGCAGCTGGAGGGAGCCTTTCCAGACACCATGACCAAGTGTGCAGAGCTCCTGAACAGGACCATTGATGTGGACTTTGTTGACATCAACGTCGGGTGTCCCATTGACCTGGTCTACAAGAAGGTGAGGAGTTCTGTGGTGCATTTTCCTTCCATGAATCCTTGTCTTCACCCACATCCTCTGCTGCCTGATTGTTCTTTCCAGTGTGATCCACAGCTCCCAGTTCATTTATGATCTCAGTGAGAAGGGAATAAGGAGCAGGGAATGGCTGTCCCTGCCTGGTGGGATTTGGGAGGGAAATGCACTCTGTGGAGAATTTTTGCTTGAAGGATCTGCTTTCTCCAAACTTGGAGATGCTGCAAGGACGCTCCACTCTGCGAGGAAGGCGCTGAGGTCCATGTTTTGTCCCCAGGGTGGAGGCTGTGCTCTCATGACTCGCTCCAACAAGTTCGAGCAGATTGTCCGTGGGATGAACTCGGTGAGTCGGAGCACCTGGGGCTGAGCTGGTGGAGCCCAGTCCAGCCTGGCCTCACCTTCCCACCTCTGCAGGTGCTGGATGTCCCCGTGACAGTGAAGATCCGGACTGGGGTGCAGGAAAAGGTCAACGTGGCTCACAAACTCATCCCCAGGATCCGGGAGTGGGGCGTGTCCATGGTCACGGTATGGGGCCGGATGTGTGGGGTTGGTGGCTGGGAGTTGTGCCTGGAGATGAGTTTGGGGTGAGCTTCCCCTGCCTTTCCGTGTCCTCTGCCAATAAAAGAGGAAAATCCAGGTGCAGAGGGTGTTTTCCTCCCCGCTCCCGAGCCTTGGGTCCGTGATCATGGAATCCCAGGATGGTTTGGGAAAGGACCTTAAAGTTGATCCCATCCCTTTCCACTATCCCAGGCTGCTCCAAGCCCTGTCCAGCCTGTCCTTGGACAATTCCAGGGATGGGGGAATTCCTGCAGAGCTCTGGAGCAGGAGTTTCCCCCAGGCAGGAGTGGGGAATGTGGGAGCAGCTCTTTGTGTGGGGATTAGTCCTGGCCCACGGTGCATTTCCTACAGAGAGCCACTTCTTCCTCTGGCTCACAAATAGCCCAAATATCACCCCCAAAGCCTCCAGCCCTTTCAGCTCTGCTCAGCCCTCCCTCAGCCTGCTGCCAGTGCCCCTGGCTCTAAATCCAGTTCTTCTGTGCAGTGCTGGGCCCCTCAGTTTGGGAAGGGGTTGGGCTCTTTCTCCAGGAACCGACAGAACCAGAGGACACAGCCTCGAGCTGCCCCAAGGGAAATTTAGGTTGGATGTCAGGCAAAAGTTTTTTGTGGAAATAGTGAGAAAGTATTGGAATGGTTTTCCTGGGGAGGTGGTGGAGTCCCCACCCCTGGGTGTGTTTGACGAAGTCTGGATGTGGCACTGGGTGCCAAAGTTGAGTTGAGGGGTTTGGGCTGGCTTGGACTCGATGACTTTTAAGGTCTCTTCCAACCTGGTGGTTCTGTGAATTCTGTAAACCCAGCGGTACATCCCAAGGGATCTCTTACCCAGCTCTGCTCCGTCAGCACCCACAGATCCCGAGGTCGATCCCAAGGCCAATCCCAAGGCTCCCTTCCCCACCCTCGTGTCCCTGGCCCCTGTCCCTCCCTTCCTGGGCAGCGGGGTGTCCCCCTGGCTCTGTCCCTCCCTG